ACGAGTGCACAGGGAGGATGCGCGCGAGGCGCGGGAAGCGTCCCAGCACGCGCGGGGCAAGACGCCCCAATCCTCGAGGAATGCGGACTGGCGGGGCAGCACGCGCGCGGTAACGCGGCCAGCAGCAGTGGCGTGCGCAACACGCTGGACGAGAACGCACGCGCTAGTGGCTGTGCTCTAGTCCTCAAGGACTAGGGCATGGGCGAAGGCGACGCGCGGGTAAGGCCGTCGCGTGGGCGGCCGAGAGAGAGAGAGAGGGAGAGAAAGAAGATCCCTTGGAGTGCAAGCCAAGTTATTTAGTTTCCATCTTGCACTATGATATCTAGTTTAATTAGGATACTTAATATTTTATTGCTTTCTTAGAGTTATAGTTATATTAGGATTAGATCTAGTTTGTGCCTATATAAAGGCCCTTCCCCTATGTTATTTTGGAATCATTCAAGAAATCAATAGAAATCTAGAACTTTGTTCTTCCAACTTTGCTTTAGTCATTTCACCAGAATACTATTGTAATTTTATCGTTTCAATAGGCGCGGTTGTGGCTAGAGAAACACTATCGGCGATTCAAGACGCGGGTTAGCGGCTTATCGGCAATCGAAACACACGATCCTCATCATTGGTGCTTTGTTGCGAGATGTTGATCGTGTGTTTTTCTTCCACCTCATTCCCTTTCTTTTTCTTTTCGTTTTTCGTCCCCCTTTATTCAAAAAACAAAAAAAAAATTGATCATTGATCCTCATCATCAACTTCAACCACGAGTCCTCAAAGCAAAGAGCGAAGAGAGAAAAGAAAAGCCATGGCCAACAAGAAGATGAAGGATAAGATCGATAACCTTGATATCCAGATGCGAAGTATGAGCGAGGTTATGGAAGGAACGCTTGGAACGCTTGACAAAAGTCAAAACAACACCAACGCCGTTGTCACACGACTTGAGCAGCGATTAGAGGAAGTCCTGCGCGCTTTCCAGCAGCAACCCCCACATCACCGTGACGATCCCCCAAGGCGCGAACCGCGCCGACACGCCGAGCATGCCGATCGCTCACCATCACCACGGCGCGAGGATCGACGCGAGCAACAGCGCACGCACGAACATGACGAGGACCGACGACGTGAGGGTTACGAGCACGAGGAGGAGTTCGATCAGCGGTCGCAGGCGTCCACCTACCGAGAACGGCCGAAGCCCGACAAGTCGAGGTTCGTAATGTCCATCTTCACGGGTAGTGATCCGGAGGCTTGGGTATTGCGCAATATTTCGAACTGAATGAAACAGAAGGCCACGACCGAGTAAGGTACGCAGCATTCTACCTGGATGGTGAGGCCAATGTATGGTGGCAATGGCTCTCAAGGATCTACCGTAGGCGGCAACAGGTCATT